CAAAACAAGTAGACAAGCTCCAAGTTAAAGTGCAAAGTGATGCAGTTTGAGAGAAATGTGATCTAATGCAGGTTAAATTCAGTGTATTGTCCAAAATCCGGTGACTCTGGAAGGAAAGCAGCTGCTCTTAGCTTATTCACATTACTGGTGCAACAGTCCCAGAGGCTGGTGTAATGCTGGAATGCTCTGCTCCTTAAAACGGATCAAACTATAGTATCATTGTTGCTTCTTCTCTTTGAACTCCTAAAAAAAGAAAAGAAAACAGAAGTGTTGGCAATCATCCATGTGAACCATTATATAACTATAAATAAAAGCTCTGCTTATTGGAAGTTAAATGTCTCACCTTTTGTGAAGGATCAAAACTATAACACCAGCAATGCAGATAATGATAAGTAGAACTGCGATGATGAGGACAATCTGTGACTTATTACCTGAAGAGAAACAACACTTGGTAAGTCTGCGCAGAAACGAGCTAAACCATATTCCCCCAAAAACAGGAAGCTGAGGTTCTGCTGTAGAACAGTCAGTGTTACAGTGGGAGCAGGTCGACCTGTGGCTGAACAGGACACAACTGACTCTGCAGGAGACTCTGATCTGCTGACATCAAGGATGGGTTCATTCAGCTCTGAGAGGAGAACAAACATCATGATCAACATCTAGTTAAATAAGTTAACCCTGGAATACAGTCTGGTTCTTACTATAGACATTTAGACAAGTTGTCCCTCTCAGAGCTCCATCAGGGTAGATGTGGAACAAGCAGAGATAACATCCTTCATCCTGCTCTGTAACCTTCCTGATAACTATGGAGGAATTCTTCAGTCCAGCTTCTGTAAACTGGACTTTATCTTTAAAGTCAGGATTCACTGTTTGACCAAAATACTCGCTGTAGGAGCAGATATTCCTCTCTTTCCTCCCAAATACCTTCTGCCAGGTGACCTGCTGGACATCTTTAGTTTCCAGGAGCTGACAGCTGAGAGGAGCATCTTCCCCCACTGCTGCTAAGACGTTCAGCTTGGTTTGGACCACAGCTGCTGCACCTGTATAGAAGTTAAATTACTTGGTTTTTAAAAAAATCAAGCAGAGAAACTGCAGGAACATTACCTCCCAGCTAAACTGTAAGATACGCCTTTGTAAGTTAACAATTTGTCCTCGGCTACAGTGTCCCCCAAGCTTAAATAATAGTAAATTGTCTCTTCAGCTCAAATTTTTTAAGCATTAGGAATGAAAGAAGGTTGATTGTGGAATTGATTTAATATGTTGAATCATTATCTTGCAGGAAAACTTAACAGCAACGTATTTTAGGTTATTCAGTTAAGGGCTTCACATTTGTACTTACATTATCAGGAAATCAAAGTACTCTAACAAGTTCAGAATCAGAATCAGGCATACTTTAATAATCTTAGAGGGAAATTACTTCTAATTCTCTTACTAATTCTCTCACCACATTTGTGTCTGTTTACTTTTTTAACACTTTTTTCTCATTTCAAGTGCACAGTTACAATACTGAAGTAATCAGACAAAAGAAACACATTCACAATATGCTTCAACAACCTTATGCGAATTTAAAACAGACAAAAAGTCTCTCTCACCTATGTGAAGAAGGTGCAGAATAAAGAAACAGGAAACTTCACTGCACGCCATCGATTCAATTTTGCCGCCCAAAGTATTGAGACAAGTAAAATCAAATTTGGACTAAACCAATAGCCTGCATTATCAATAACAAGCAACAAGCAAAATTGAATCACACTTCATCTCCATTCATTAAAATGATAATGATAATCAAAATCTCATAGGAACTCAACAGTACAAGTATGTTATTTTGCAGGGCTTTCTATGTATTTTAATACTATAATTCCTGTTGATCCCCTTTTTCAGACGTACTGGTACAAACCGGCAACAGTAATACTTTTACTTTCAGTTTTCAATATCGGCTGCAAGGAATACAAATGCGCCATCTAATGTCTATACTGTATGGTAAAAATTTAAATGTCAAATAACCGGAATCAGAATCAGAATCAAATTTATTGCCTAGTAGGTTTGCATGTACAAGGAATTTGACTTGGTGTTGATGGTGCAGACAAAATAGATATATATACAGAATACAGGATTTCTAGTTATATATGATAAAAAAAAAACCATACCTTATACTATATACAATAAATTGTATGTAACTATTTATCATATACTCAGTAGGCAGTGTGTTAATGTAACGCAGGAGGTCTGGAGATGTGATGTTAGTGTAGCTTCTAGGTCCTAAACCAGGGAGGGAGTGAGGCAGTGTCACAGGGATCTCTGGGCCTTGTCGATAAGGCTGGTAGCGGATGGGGAGAAAGTGTTCTTGTGGCGTGAGGTTTTGGTCCTGATGGACCGCAGCCTCCTGCCAGAGGGAAGTGACTGAAATAGTTTGGGGTTTGGGTGCGAGGGATCAGCCACAATCTTCCCTGCACGCCTCAGAGTCCTGGAGGCGTAAAGATCCTGGAGAGATGGAAGATTGAAGCCAATCATCTTCTCTGCAGACCAAAACCAAACAATAACCGATATGATTTTTTAAAATGTCAAATCTAATGTACTGTATTTATTTTTAGATCCATGTTTGATGCAGGTGAAAGTGCAATACAACTGTTAAATCAAAAGTTTAATGCTGGTAAATAGTCCAATATCTTTTGATAATAGAGGGATAAGAATAGGGTGTTTTTATGTTTTCAAATAGTTTATGTGTGATAAATCAATTGAGTTTTTTTTTTTCTTTTTGGTACCAGCAGTGAACTCTGCTTTAGAAAGGTTTTTCAATGGACCATGATTCAAAGAGAGGAACGTTACAAAATAGAAATCAAATATTAATCATAGTGATCATTTTTTAAGAATAAATCTATATTCCTTGCACTGATCAACACCCATAAAGGGTCTAAATCCTACAGCCATGCACTTGCAAAAATAAAGGGACGTCTTTGAACAAACTGTACATTTGTGTCAGAAGTGAGTCAAAATGAGACAATGACATTTAGGACTTTAATTTGACAAAGAGAAAAACAAACCTCTAGTCACAAGTTTGATCATTTCTAAAACTTGACATATTTTATTTAAACCAATTGTCAATAAATATTTTTTAAAGAATAAATAATAAAATGACATCAACATAAATATGATTTATCAGGGACAACACCATCTTTTATAAGTACGGTACAGTTCTAATAGTTTTTCATTCTTTTCGCACACAATAAATAACATTTTAACCACTATAAACAATGTACAAAATGCAAGAGGATAGAAAAACCTACAACTATCTTGAAAAAACAAAAAACAAATTTAAGAACAAAACTGTTCTACTGAACTGAGGTAAAACATTTTGTAGGAGTTTTATGCAGAAATAAAATAGGACACTAGATGGCAATAAAGGCTCAGTTTGCATTAAAGCGTGAGCTTCTTAATGTCAATCCTGACTGTTGCATTATTCCTCCCTCACAGCCTCTGTCATAGTATCATATTCACGCTGTCATTTTTACATTCATCAAAACAAGTAGACAAGCTCCAAGTTAAAGTGCAAAGTGATGCAGTTTGAGAGAAATGTGATCTAATGCAGGTTAAATTCAGTGTATTGTCCAAACTCCGGTGGCTCTGGAAGGAAAGCAGCTGCTCTTAGCTTATTCACATTACTGGTGCAACAGTCCCAGAGGCTGATGTAATGCTGGAATGCTCTGCTCCTTAAAGCGGATCAAACTATAGTTTGATCATTGTTGCTTCTTCTCTTTGAACTCCTAAAAAAAAAGAAAACAGAAGTGTTGGCAATCATGCATGTGAACCATTATATAACTATAAATAAAATGTCTGCTTATTGGAAGTTAAATGTCTCACCTTTTGTGAACGATCAAAACTATAACAACAGCAATGCAGATAATGATAAGTAGAACTGCGATGATGAGAATAATCTGTGACTGATTACCTGAAAAGAAACAACACTTGGTAAGTCTGCGCAGAAACGAGCTAAATCATATTTCCAAAAAAAGAGGAAGCTGGGAATCCCTCTCTGTTTTACTTTTACTGGTAAACATTTGATAATGAATCCCTGGGGTCAGTTCAGTAACCTCCTGAGATAAACACCCGCAGCCGGTGTGACCAGCACTGCACAGTGTACTGTGACATGGGGTTTTCAGTAACATGAAACTCAGCTACAAGTGAAACTGAAGCCTTATGTGTCACAGCTCAGCTGACTGAGAACAAGCATGACTCTTTTAACTTGGTCTTCAGACTTCCAGGACTAGATCTACACCATGAATCAGGCAGTTGTTCAAAGGGAAATAAAATCAAAGTGAATTTCCGGGATTTCCTGAGCCTTTGACCTAGTGGGCGTTATGATAACCATCAGGGAAATGCTTCAGGGGAAATTTGACGTCACTACCAGGCAGCAAGAATTATCAGGGAATTTCTTAAGCTTTCATGGGACTTCCTTGAACCTGACCCAGGTATTTATTACCTTTTCAATGGGAGATCCAAGATCTCAACATCCTAAGTATTCGCACTCCCTGATTGCCTCTTAATCATATAGCATGTTAGGACACAACCCATTTACAGCTACAAGTCTCTACATGACAGCTTGCAAAACTCAGAGTCCAGCATGCATACCTTCCTCCTGCTCTATTGAAGAGAAATCAAATGTTTTCCGCTGTTCCCCTGGCTGTCCTTTATTTAGCACACAGTCTATATGTCCTGTCCAGATTGCAGGTATGTCCACTGCAATGCTGGTATTGTGGATAAAAGTCCCATCACTCTTCCTGTCCGTAGTTTTCTGTGGGACGGCATTTTTGGAGATGTTGATGGGGATCTCCCAGGTAATTGTCGGTGCAGGTTTCCCAGTGGCAGAACAGCTGAGCAGTTCCTTTCTTATTTTCTGTTCACGAAGGACGCTTGACTGTTGTGCGGATGTGAACTCCAATACTCCTGCATGGACAATTGGAAACCATGACTTTAGATTTTTTCTTTTTTACTATTTTGACTTTCTGAAGAGTGATGATACTCCAAAAAGCAACAGCTCACCTGTCACAGTTAGGCACATTTGCTTCCTTTTGGACCCATCGGGATAGGCATTGAACGAACAAACATAACAGTTCTCATCTTCCCAGGTTATGTTCTTCAGGATAATGGATGACATGTTTAGAGTTGATTCTCTGAAGCTCACTTTCTCATTAAAAGGTTCATTTACTTGCTTCCCAAAACGGTTGCTATATGTTGCTAGGTTTTCCAATGACTCAGGTTTAAGGCCCCGCTGCCAAGTGACCTGCAATACACCTGTAGTGGAAAAAAAAAAAAAAAAACAGTCAGTACGTCACTGGTAACCTTTTAAAGATTCATAGTTGTTTATAGTCAGTTTACAAGAAAAACTCGTGACTTTCCAGGTAGTGAATAAGGATTTACCTTTAGGGTCTGGGAGTGTACAGGTGAAGATTGCTTCCTCTCCATACTTGGCTGTGTTTCCCCCATCAAAGATTATCTCAGAGGCTTGGGCTTTAAAAGAGAAAAGCTGTATTATCAGCAAGTTCTGACTATGCACGGAAAGGGAGTAAAAATGCTCTAAAGTGAAAATGGTCAACACACATGACAGAATTCTGTAATAAAAATCCTTCCAAGCAGCTCTTAAACTTTATACCCAAATCAACTTCCAACAAACTTGGCAGATCTTTGATCCCTGCTGTTTTTTCAAAGCAAATAGTAAATAGTTCTTCATGCACAAATCTGCATTAATGTTTTGTACATTTTAAACAACCAAGCTCAGTTGCACATTTCTTTGCTGTGGGTCTGACAATTTGGCCTTACTGTAAAGTCTCTTGTTCACATTTTTTTTAACAGTCTTTTTTTACCTAGTGTGTATCTGCATGCTGACAAGCAGATCAAATGGTCGCTTTGCTGTTGTTACACTTGAATTTTCCCACAGCAGAACAATAAATTCTATTCTATTCTATTCTAGAATTATCATATTATTAATAATAATGATAATATATGATTAGTTTTATCAAAGTATCCTTGCTTATTATAAATAATAAATATTAATATTATTCCATACTGTAATTATATATCAATAAAAGCAACAAAAATATTACAAATAAAATAGATAAGAAAATCTTAGATCAACAACTTGGATACAAATGAATAAATGTAAAGAATACAACTAGATCGAATATCACAAATAGAAAATAAGTTAAACATGGAACATTTTATTTGTTGTTTTATAAAATATAGCCAGGATTCAACATGTTATATAAAAAAAAAATCTTACCTTTGAAAGCCAAACAGATGATTGTGATGATCAGTAGCATCCTGTGTCACTGCTGGAGCTCACCAAATGAATACTTTCTGTTTGGACGCAGCAGCCTTTATTTACAGAGAGATGGGAGGAGAAATAGAAACTGATGGCTGGGATTTCTCCCTAACTCTGACTCATGAGGTTTTCATACAGTATTGGTAGATTGTGTTTATAAACAAAAAATAAATAAACCATTACTTTTTTTACGAATAAATATTGTAAATAATTTCTGGGGAGATTTAGAACCTTTATATGTTAGGTTTGAATAACTGAAACCAGACATATAATTTAAAACTACAATGTGTAACTTTCAGCAACATCTAAGGGTTAGACTGCAGCAGCATGACCCCCCCTCCCCACCCCCACTTCGACCCCACAACAATACAGTGACCGTCATGATACAAAATGGCTCCAGCAACATCCGAGTCACCTATCTTGCGAAGTGATGACGAGGTTTGTTTACATAGCTTATTTTATAAAAATATTGTATTAGTTTATGTGGGATAAAGATTGTATATAGGTCTAACATTCTGCTGTCCTATTTGAGTATAATAGTAATCACTAAAGTCACCAGTTTTACCGCTCTGCACTGCCATAGCGCCAAGATGTCTGTCTCCATATATGTGCGAACCGCTCAATGTAATTATAAATAGAAATTTCCAAGGCAAAGCAAGCATAAGGAGAGTGAGACTTTCAGTTCGTTAATGAGAATAAATAACATCCTTATCATCATCTTCCTTAAAGGCACACCATGTAACTTTTGGCCACTAGGGGCGCTAGACTTGTAACTTTCACATCTAGCCGGGCGTACACTGTGCGATTTTCGGGGCGATTTTCCAGTCGTATGTTAATTTTTCGATCGGGTGGACTTTCAGCCTGATCGTGCGTCGTGTAGTGTACAGGGGGTTGCGAGGGGCGATCAGCCTCTCACAACCACCTCCCGATCGGGAATCATGGGGTCAGGAGATTTTCTCCCGACCGTCGTGGGCAAATCGCTCAGTGGGCATGCAAAAACAAGGATTTTTCTTTTTCTGTAAAATTTACAAACTGTAGTAGCCATGTTTGCTCAGCCATGTCTTTGTCCAGCTACGTCCCAGGTTTTTATTTTTAGGGCTTTCAGCACAAAATTGCTAAGGCAGTGCGTTTCACTCTAGTTAGCTTCATATACCCCTTCTATTTGTTTGGCTTCTGGATAGACGAGTCAGAGTAGCTCCATCTCACTGCAGAGCTCAAACCAGGGGGACAAATCACCTATACAACAGAGGTAAGGTGAGATGCTCAGACAGCAGGAGCATGAAATCAGTGTGAGAACGCCAGCTGAAAGAGAAACAGAACCGGGATGAGCCAGTCAGCCGTTCCCCCCTCTGTAGCTAAGAAACCAGAGCAGTAGAGAATAGCTCAGGAAGAGAGCTGAGTATGATAATAGTAAATCAGAGAAGTCTACTGGGCTAATGCAGGAAAGCAAGAAGCCAAAGCTTGTCCAGGCTAGCTATAGAGGTAAACTGCAGAGGATGAAAGGACGACAGTGGAAGATCGGATAAGTCTGCTCGCAGACAAACAACTGAAGGTGAGGGACAGGGGCTTCAGATCACCGGGAGGAGGACAGCAGTACCTTGGAGAAGTCTGCCAGGGAGACAGTGGCAGGCCAAGGCTAGCCTCTAGTCTAACTGCTGGTGATGGACAGACAACTGCTTAGGTGTCTGTACTGGAGGTAGGATGATGAAACAGTCCACGGGGGCTAACTTAAAACAGCTCTTTTAAAAGCCACTTCTAGACCTCTTGAGAGCGTTTCCGACTTCATCTTTTGTAAACATTATTTTCTCCATCTTCTATTTCGATTTCAAAAAGCTGATCTCCACCACCTCCTTCACTAAAACAGTAGCCAATTCATGATAATTTCTCATTTCAAAATGTATATACTAAATAATACCACCTCAATGTACATGAGGCACCAATATTGAAGAATTATAACGTCTACAATTTGTGGATTTGCAGCTCCCAAATCCTAATCTATGCATCTCTAATGTAAACAAACTTGTCATCAATTCACAGGAACACTGAAGCGGATGTTGCAGAAGCCATTTGTATATGATAGGCTCCTCATTGTTGCAATGGGGGAGCAGCTCATGTTGCTGCAGTCTTATTTTTAGATGTTGCTGAAAAATACACGTTGTAGTGTTAATGCGGGCGTAAATGCTGTGAATTTTTTCGTGAAAATCTTTTGTGTCTACTGAAACACCTGAAAAAAACACTGCAACTTTCAAAGTCAAACTTAATTTAAGCCCTTTTCAGATCAACTATGTGATGGTTATTGCTCTATTTCTGCAAATACATGAGAAACTCAGCTGTGTTTCTGTGTTTTTTTTTCTCACCCCTTTAACATCCAGTAAATATACTTTCATCACTTCTGCGCAGTAAACATTTACTAGATGCTGCTGCCAGTAAGCGTAATGGTCAAGTAGGGAGAATACATTTATACCAAAAGCAGAAGTTCTGTAGAGTCATTTGCTGTTTCAACTTTTTTAACACCTAGTTATATTTTCAGATTAATTACTTGTGACTATGTTCATGTTGTTTCCCACAAGCATTGCTTTGGAGCTCCTCCCAACCTTTAGTGCCATTCCCAATTGCAGAAATAATAAACAAGGCCTGGAATGAATTTAATGTTGTAGCATCTGGGAGACATAGTTTTACTTGACTGGCTTTTTTTCTTGTCTTTTCAGTTTTGAAGATCGGCTAAAACATCAAGGAAACACCAATTCATGATTACAGCATAACTAATAAACCGTTATTTCAGTAATTTATGCTGGTCAAACTTAAATTCCCTTTAATGTAGGTTAAACGTCAGAGGTTTGGGGTGAATATGTCTTACTAAAGCAGTGATGAAAACATCAATCTCCTGGCAAGTTTCATTACCACACTTAGATCATGACAAGTTTATAACCACGCCATTTCACTGTGAAACCAACAGCTACAGGAAATCTTAACAATATAACTGTAAATCTGCTTATTATGTCAGAGGAAATCTGTAGTGCAGTTTTGGCTGTCAGCTCCAAGGAAAGCAGAACAGGAAGGAATTATAAATCAGCCACAGAAGCTGATTCCTAGATAATTTGGTTAGATCATGCTTGTTAATACCGTAAACCCATGTCATGCAACCATGAGCTGACTATAAAATAAACAATTTGCAAGATCACAATAAAAATTTCGTAACCTTTTTCACACAAGTACATCCTAAAAAAATCCAAGCAAAGCATAAATCTGACATGGGTGTGTTGAGCACAAAATGATGAAAAGTTGGAATAACTGAGTTTGGCTGCATCCTATATCTTAATTTACACACCCAACTTTAATGTTGAATTTGATTCATCTAAAATAAATGTCATCTAAGATTGCTTGTCCATTCGCAGCCTTAATCTAAAGCCACACAGTGTGCAGCAAAGTTACAAAATATAAATAACTGTAGAAAAGAAAGACAGCTTTAACTTAACAGAAAAATGATATTTCTTTATTTTTGAAAAGACAGAAAGTGGCGAGGGAGGCTGATAGTCGGAGTTTGGATAAAGCACTGGTTGTATTTTACACATCAAACAATAAGAGCTAGGAAATAGTGTTGAGGACAGAAACAAACCTATTGTAATACTGTAAGGAATCGGTTGCACAGTTATGTAAATTGCGAATTGCATGAATAGTTATTGCACATGACCTAGAGCTGAAAAAACACATGATATCACTTCTGCCAGAGTGCAGCAGCTGAAACACCCCATCTCCGGGGTGTTTACCATTTCTCAATGTGTTGTGTTCTCTCTTGAGACAGTGAGTGCTGTAGAGGTTCTTTAGGGAGGAAAGAGTGTGACTAATGATAATATTTCCAATCGGGCTGAGTTTCAGCCTGCGTTGTGTAGTATATAGGCGGTAACGAGGGGCGATCAGCCTCTCATGACCATCTCCTGATTAGAAATCGGAAGAAAATCGAACATGTGTGAAATTAATTTGAGCATCGTAAGGTGTTTGTAAGATAATTGACTCTATGTTTACAATCTCAGAGGAAATCTCTGATCCAGCAGCGGATGGGGGCTTAAAAAGTCTGATGCAGGAGCTCCATTGCCAGTCTGTCTAGGAATATGGTATTAGGAGCAGAAATTAAGGCTACAAAGGGCAGCCTGAATAAAATCCTCTAAAACCTTGTGGGGAAAAAAACTGCAGATGAAGGGTATGACAATAAAATAAGTAGTAGACTGCTTTTTAAATTATTATTATTATTATTATTATTTCTATTGATAATTCTAGAGCCAAATCAGCTGACAATTTCAAAGAGCACGAACTCAAAGCCCATTTCAAGTTAAAGGAAAAGACAAAAATTAAAAAAATTAAACTACTCATTTGATAAGAGAAACCTTGAATATTTTCCCCATTAACAACAGCAAGTCTTCTGAGTCAGTAACTGCATCATAGAAGAAAAATCTGACGTGGGTGTGTGAATCACAAAATGACGAAAAGCGGGAATAACTGTTTGAGTTTGGCTGCATCCCATAATTTAATCTACACACCTAACTTTAATATTGAATCTGATTCATCTAAAATAAATGTCATTTGTTCTAGTAAGACTGCTTGTCCATTCGCAGCCTTAATCTAAAGCCACACAGTGTGCAGCAAAGTATAAGTATAAATATAAGTAACTTTAGAAAAAAAGAGACAGGTTTAACTTTACAGAAAAATGCGATTTCTTTATTTTTGAAAAGACATAAAGTGCCGAGAGAGGCTGATAGTTGGGGTTTGGGTAAAGCACTGGTTGTATTTTACACGTAGCTAAAAGTGCTAAATAAATAGTCTTAAAGCAACAACACAAGCGCAGTGTGCTTTTTATATAAAATCAATGAAATAAAAAGCTTTATTCATCCACTTAATAACGCTAAAAGTGCCTAGATATGAAAATGAGTTTATTCCTCTCTCATAAAAGCAAAAGTGGAATCTGTCACTTTGCAGGAAACTGTAGAAGACCTCATATATACAGGAAGCAAAGGAGAACAGCACTAACTCCAAACATAAATCTGAAACATGGAACTACACTGAAACATGATGGCAGCAACATTAACCAGAGGTTTTGTGAAAG